CAAACAGAGAATACACAGCCAGCTGACTGCAAACTTTTCAACATGAGGTTACCACATTTTGCATAAAGCACGTTAGAGTTATGCATACTCATATTAAAAACCCATGTCCATAAAAATATGGGGGCATGGTGACACAATGAAGTCCAAGAAACAATCCAAGACCCCCTTTCCTCTTAGAAGGTCTGTCCCTCTTCTCTGAGAAAACGAATATGAGATTGCACAATGTCAAGGACTCCAGAGCCACTCTGCAGTGTGTGGGCATCGATACTCCTGCTACACAGTGGAGGCACTTCATCCCAGGCCCTTCTTTGCACTCATATCAGCCAGAAATCTGTCAGGACGGCTTGCACAGAAGAAACAGGACAGTGGAGGCACTTCATCCCAGGCCCTCCTTTGCACTCATATCAGCCAGAAATCCGTCAGGACCGCTTGCACAGAAGAAACAGAAGATGCCCCCAATAGTCCTCAGGTCAAGGTTTTGGCCAACCATAAGGTTGGTTTAGGTGTCCCTTTTACGGCCCAGCAGCCATCCCTGTCATTAGAGACAGACATGTTGGACTTAGGTTGGGGAGCCCATCTGGGGGACCTCAGGACTCAAGGTCTCTGGTATCAGGCCGACTTGGCTTTCCACATCAATGTCAGAGAGCTCAGGGCATTGCATGTCAGATCTTCCAAGCCCACTAAAAGGTTGTTGTGTATCAGCCATAATGGACAATACAACATCAATGTTCTATATCAACCAACAGGGAAGAGCCAGGAAGCCCCTGTGCTCCAGGACGTTTGTGTAGAGTATCCCATACACCTGCAAGTGTTGAACTTCCCTGGAGTGCAGAACAAGCAAGCGAGCCACCTCAGCAGGTTTTTTCATCGCCACAAGTGGTCGCTTTGCCTGGTTGTCATAAACTTCAGTCTTTCTATAAATAGACTGGTTTGCCACATGACATGACAGGAAGTGTCAGCAAATCTGCTCTTTCCAAAACCACAGTCCAGGCTTCTGTGAGTAGGCCCTCTCCTATATGCCTTTCCATTCATCCAAAAGATCCTCCTCAAGATCCAGAGAGACTGAGCTCAGGTCTAGCCTCATACTGGCCTCATCAGCACTAGAATGCATCACTCATGTACATGTCCGTGGAAGTCCCGGTCACCCTACCATCCTTCCCTGACCTTCTAATTCAAGATTACAGTTGCCATCAGCATCCAAACCTTGAGTCACTGCATCTCATGGTATGGAAGTGCCATGTTTGAACTCATTGGAGCTCCCATGCTCTGACTAGATTAGACAAGTCCTCCTCAGCAGCAGGAAATCCTCCAGGAGGGCCACCTAGCTCACCAAGTACAAGAGATTTTCAGTCTGGTTGGCACAATGCAGCTCACTCCCAACTCTCGCCTCAGGACCAATGATTCTAGACTACCTCGTCCATCTCAAGCAGCAAGGACTTTCTGTCTCCTCCATAAGGATCCACTTAGCCACCATATTAGCTTTGCACCTGGGTACATGTGGCCAAGAAGAAAAAATAGTTACTCCATTTCTTCTTGTTCTTCGGGATGTATAGTTCATGTCCATTCCAATACTCGCCCTCCTTGCCCCTCTGTCGGAGCAGCTGGAAAGAAAGAACTGCAGAGTGGATGGGTCAGCAACAGACACTGTATTGTGCGCCATGAAGGCACAACTCCAGAGGGTGCCCAGGCCAAACCTATGGCTAGTTGCTAGGGGGAAAAATCTTCAGGCTATTGTACACATGCATGTACACACCTGATGGAATGGTGGGTTAGAGTCAGCCATGGCTTGTAAGGGAGAAGTCGCTAGAAGCTATTCCTGCACGCAAAGGGCTCAAACCAGCTCGCTATTGCATAAGGGACATAATTTGCATAAGGAACAAAGAATGAGTGACAGGGTTACACAGTATTTAAATGTCAGACATTGCAGAAGAGCTCTTTGTTCTGAATCAACGGATCTGAAAAGTAGGTAGCAACCGAGGAGGAATGGATTGCTGTGGAAACAGGAATCCAATGTTGCAGAACCAGGACCAGATTTCAGAGATACATGTGGGGAGCCTGTCTTGGAATTTACACTTTCTTCAAGACCCTCTCAACCTGTGCGTTGCATCAACTTAAAGTGCTTTAGTGCTTGTGTACAGCCAAAAAAAAAAATCTTATATTTGAAAATAAAGAGCCCTCAAATTAAATGGCGAGCTGTCCCGGGCCGTGTGGTCAGGACGAGCCAGCACAAGCAGTGCTCAGCATTCTCTTACCGTTGCCAGTTGTGTCCAAATGTAAGAGAGTCGATAGCATGGGCAAAGCCCGTGGAAGATCTGGTGTGACTGACTTAGAGCTGCTTGGGTTTAGGCCCCGTTCTGCACACAACCCTTACACCTCCCCTCCGCTTGCGCTCAGATCAAGGGTGTCTGGAACTCTCAATGGGCACTGCAAGCAAAGTAGGAGCAGGGAAAGAAAAGCAACTGACAGCAAGTTGCAAGTGAAGGCCGATTGGGCAGATTAAGGCATAGCCCCCACGGGTCCATGCTGCGTCCCAGCTCCTGAGGTTGTGCGAGTGCAGTAAAATTGCCGTTTTCCAGATAAAAAGTTTCTTTCCCCTCAGAGCTGTGAAGAGAACTTCAAAGTGTGACAAGTGCAAGCAGTGTAGCAACTGCTGCAGCCAAATGGCCTCAGAGGGTCCTCGTCCCCAAACTACTGCTCCCTACCTGTGACAGTAAAGTGATGTATCCTGTGACAGTCAAGTGTTCTGTGGGAAAAGGGAGCAGGGATCCTGGGCCACCCACCCAAGGACATCTTCACTACCAGAGGAAGGGAGGGTGCTGTGACTGTGTGAAAAAGGAGGCCCCTTGCCACTGCTTCTGCTGTCTGGGAGGGGAAGGGACCCCTGCCACCACCACTTTAGATGGTGGAGGGTGAGGCCTGGGGATTTCCCTGGCAAGGCGTTTTTAGAACCCCCAATTGCCGTAGACCGTCAGTCCCATAGCGCACCTCCTGTTCTGATGTGCAGCTTCTAGCTCCCGGGCACGCTCCACTCACACACTGCAAGCAGCTCTGAGTGAGCATCAGATCATCTGACTTTCCCCTCGTGGGTGACTCCATCATAAGAGAAGCTTGCAAGTAGGTGTGCTTGTGATTAATAAAAATGACTTGAAACAATACCAGGGCACAGTGTTATAATTAGCTGAGCAACTTACTGGCTGCAACCAGGGCTGCAGGTTGGCGGTGTGCCATCTCCCTGCCTGCACCTGCACGCGTACGACTGTAGCAGGCTGTCACTGGGCCACCCAGGAGAAGAGCTGGGAGGAACTAGAATGCTAGTGCTCTCTGCGTCAGAGAAGCAAATCATTGGTAGCGGGACTGGGTGGTTTATGAGACTGCATAACAGCAGTGGCACGTCTCCAGGAAAGTATCTCCAAGGCTAAGAGTATGTTATGGAGATCACTGAAGTCAGGGAGTCCATGATACCCAGTGACTTCCTCCAGCAAACCATGTCACTGCATGATCACCATGTGTGGGTGAAACACCATTGATTTCCTTTCTCTGAGTGTTTGACAAGGCACAGTGAAAGGTGAGAGGGTGAGGGAGGTGGAAGCAGACAACTTCCAGCAGTAGCCATGCCAGCACGCAAAGAAATGCTTTACTGTTTTGATGCGGGTCACATGGGCGCAGTGTTGTTTTCCATACAGCACAGTAAGAATGTTTTGATCAGGTTTTCCCGAAGTTGCAGTCCAATGGAATTTCCTCACAAATTAATGTTTCTATCCTATTCTGATCCCAGGCTTTAAAATTAGTTTTACAATGTCTCCTTTATGATAAAATAAAGAATCATTAGATTAATAGCATTAAAAATACCTTTAGCTTGGACATTCTCCTCCAGTGTGTGTTAGGACAGGGGTGAGCAATTATTTTAGAAGGGGAGCCACTTCACAATTTTTTGAAGTGGCCCTGGGCCACCCCAGAAGGGACAGCGTCTCAGGCAGAAGGGGCACCCCACCCCTGCACCTAGAGACAACCACCAGCTGTTCAGAACAGCTGGTGGTTCCCTCTAGGCACCCCTAGAGGCAAGAGGAGACTTCGTGCAGACCCCCTTCCCGCAGGCCAATCAGTCTCTCGCTCCCTGCCCCCACTCTGCAAGGGGCACATGGCGCGTAGAGTGAATTGTCAGCTGTTCTGAATAGCTAGCAATTCAGTCTGGCTGTGTCTAGACTGCACCCCTTTTCCGTAAAAGGGATGCAAATTAGACACAGCGCAATTGCAAATGAAGCGGGGATTTAAATCTTCTCCGCTTCATTTGCATAAACATGGTTGCCGCTTTTTTCCGGCTCGGGGCTTTGCCGGCAAAAAGCGCCAATCTAGACGGGGATCTTTCGGAAAATAAAGCCTTTTCCAAAAAGTCCCTTACTCCTCTTAAAATCAGGAATAAGGGATCTTTGGGAAAAGGCTTTATTTTCCAAAAGATCCCCGTGTAGACTAGCGCTTTTTGCCAGCAAAGCCCCGAGCCGGAAAAAAGCGGCAGCCATGTTTATGCAAATGAAGCGGGGACGATTTAAATCCCCGCTTCATTTGCAATTGCGCTGTGTCTAATTTGCATCCCTTTTACGGTAAAGGGGTGCAGTCTAGACACAGCCCCTGTGTTTTAGGGATTGGACTGGAGAATGAGAAGTGTTGTCTACAGCCCAGGAGGGACGCTTGTGAACAGTATGAGGACAACTTCTTTGGGAAACATCAGCAGTTCCATATCATATTTAATGCTGCTGCAGATCTTGTGGTTTTGCAGGTTAACACAGATTCCTCTAGGTGACACTTTTTAATCTTGCTAAACTATGAGCACTGGTCTAAACCCTGACAGCGAAGCAGGAGGTTGATGGACAATGAGCTCAGTCTCACCCTGGGATAACTACACTGATACCAGCTGGTGTTGCCAGGTTGAATTTGTCCCAATCTCCTTAAAAGTACAAAATACAGGATTAAATTTCAGCATATGAATTAAAGTCATTACTTACCAATGTAAGACCACTTAGATCCTGTTAAAAAAACAAAAACAAATACTACTGTGAATATGTGAAATTTTGCTTAGTCTACAGAGTGTCAAAAAAGCCATATTTCTGGTGAATTCTGTAGTACTTAACTGTCTTCTTATTTCAGCTGTCCAGTACAAACAAGCTAATTTTCACAGGTTATTAAAGACTGAGCCTATGTCAATCACAATTATCTCTGTGAGTTAGAGAATCCGTTACGTTATTTGAATCCTTGGCAAAAGGAGTGATTCTTAGTGGCCAGAGCCCATTCTATTCCCAGCTCTGCCACTGACCTGCTGGAGCATATGGGGCAAGTCACTGTCCTCTTTCTGTGCCTTAATTTCCCCATCTGTAAAATGGAGATACTGATACTGTTCTCCATTGGAAAGAACTTTGAGGGTTATAAATTAAAGGTTCTAAACAGGGACTAGGGTGGATGGATTGCTTGTATTAATTAATTACTGCTCTAAAGTCAAATTTTTTTTGAATGGCCAAAGTCGACACACTGAAATCATCTCTTCTTTCTGCTTGTACAGTGAGAAGCACAAATGCGCAGGCATTTGGTTGTCATTTAAGGGCACATACATAGTTCAGATTGTAAGCCAGGGGGTCTGAAGGACTGCTTGCAATGCAGCCAGCTGAAGTTGTTTAGTCCTGAAAGATAATTAACTGTTGATATGTAAATACAGCTCATTCTGGGATGAGGAAGGAATCGGGGTATGGTTATGTAAATCCAGTTCAGCCAGGGCTGATGGAGGATCGGTTGTTAGAATGGAATGTGATGTATTGTAACTAATTTGGGCGGTTGTGGGGTCACAAACCATGCTATGCCCAAATGTAGGAACTGTAAAATATGTGACCAATGTTAGCAGGAGAGACACCATCATTGTAAGGGGTCTCAGATAAACAAGCCTCCCCCCTTCCAGAGTTGAGTGAACTGAGTTGGGGGGAAAGGGCTTGAGCCAGCCTGCTTTATGCCTGCTAGGTGTGAGCTGTAAGACTAGTTCAACCTATTTCTTTCCCCCCTGTTGTAAGGCTAGACCTAAAGCAGAGTCCATCAGGACTCTTTTTGTTATTCCAGTGGAAGCTGGATCTTTAGGCCAGCCTAGGTGGTGACTAAGGCTATGTCTACACTGGCGGCGGGTTCTTGCGCAAGAACAACTTGTGCAAGAGTTCTTGTGCAAAAACGCTTGTGCAAGAGTTCTTGTGCAAAAACTCTTGCACAAGAACCCGCTAGTGTAAACATAGCCTAAGAGTTGAAATCACTAAGGCTATGTCTACACTGCAGGCTTCTTGTGCAACAACTGTTCTTGCTCAAAAAGTCTTGCACAAGGGTGCGTCCACACTGCCATGTGCTTTTGTGCAAGAGCGCCCATGGCGGCGTGGACACTTTCTTGCACAAGAAAGCTCTGATGGCCATTTTAGCCATAGGAGTTTCTTGCTGAAGAAACTCCTGTTGCTGTCCACACTGCCTTCTTGCGCAAGAGCTCTTTCGTGGGGAAAGGAATCACTCTTGTGCAAGAAGCCCTCTTTTCTGATGTTTTACTGTAAATTTACTTGCACAAGAACACACGTACAGTGTAGACGCTCCACAAGTTTTTGCACAAGAACAGCGTGCAGTGTAGACTGAAGTCACTGGTTTGGCCTGGAGCCAGACCCATTGCAACCAGTGGGCGGCTGGTAAAAGCAGTGGCCGGTGGGAACGGCTGCAGGCGGCCGGTGGCAGGAGCGACGGGCGGCAGGGCAGTAGGCGGCCAGCAGGGCGGCTGGTGGGAATGATTGAGCAGGTAACCAGCAGAAGAAGTGGCTGGTGGAGCAAGCGGACCACAGGAGCAGCACAAAGGTGGCGTGGCCTCAGGCTCAGTGAGAGAAGTCATCAGGGTGATGTGTCAGGGTCCGCACTGACTGGACAGAGCTGTAAGTGGGGCATCTGAAGTGGGGTACGGAGAAAGTTTGGGTTAGCGAATGGAACCCTTACATGGTTGGACTAGTGAGCCTGAGAGGCAAAGAACATTGCTCAATCCATTTGAGGTGGGACAGTTACTCATGGGGGGTTATGAATTCTGTTTGTGGTATTTTCCCAAGCTAATGCCATGTGACCTCTCTCCCTCTTTCATTAAAAGTTTCTTTTCTGCACTCAGACTCTGTGCTTGCAAGTGGGGAAGCATCGCCTCTCAGACCACCCAGGGGTGTGTGAATTTCCCAGGATACTCGGTGGGGGCTCGAGCCGGTTCTGTGTGAGATGGATGAAAAAGGACCCCTAGATATTGAACCTGGCCCTGGCTGCTGCCAGCACTACCTGGCAGAAGGGCTACAAGATGACTGAAGAAGACCTGCAGAAAGTGGAATGTTGATTGCCAGCTGCATGACAGTAAGTCCTTTCAGCACAATCATGCTGAGCTTTCACCATGTGATGCTTATAGGAAATGGCTGTGGATTGTTAAGAGACAGTATAAAGTTATCTTCCTATGAGGTGTGAGGCCATTGGTTATTTATTTGTTAAAATGATCAATGGGCCAAAATTAATTTTTGGCATTAGGGACTGACTGGGTTAATATCTTTGCAAATCGTGGAAGATCAAGAAGTGTAATCTCTGTAAGAAGAATGGGAGCATTTTAAAAAGTTTTTGGCTTTTGTTAGCCTGTTAACCTAAGTATCAGAAAACACAAACAAAGACAAGGGCTCAGAAATAAAATTGGGGAACATAAATAGCTAGCTAGGATTGATTAAAATATTGAATGTGGTCTATGATTTATCAATTTCAACAGCTACAGATCACATTAAATATAGCTTTGTTATTACTTGCATCTCTGTACGGTAGATATTCAGATCTGATAGGGACACTCAAAACAAACTATCACATTTCTTGTCAATGAAATCTCTCCTGCTTCTTCTCACAGCAGAGGTGTCCAGTTAGAGTACATTTCCATTTAGTCATTCAAGTATGGGAAGGAAATGTTTTACACTTAGGAACTGTTTAAATGTGCTTTTCACGTTTTTAGAACTTCGAGCTTGCCAACGAGTTAGAGGCACTTGTCCTCATGAAAGAGTGACATACCCATTCATGAAGCAGAATTGGTTCCAAGGTGATGCAAATCTCAACGAGCCCAAATTTTGGAGTTTTTAGATTTGGATTTTAATTTGGAAATGGACCCTAAATTATATGAGTCTGACAACTAGAGTGTATGTGCATAATAAGTGATTCTTGTCTGACTTCCCAGTGTCCTGAAGTGCACTTCCCTGCACAGGTATGCAATTTAAATCAACAAGATGAATTAGTACGGCTCTGCAAAGTAGAGATATTTAACTCTTGGGTCTTGATTAGGGCTGGGATTTCAAAGCAATGTAGGTTAGGCCTCAAAATCCTTTTCAGAGGTAGTTATGGAGCCCTGATTCCCTTGCACTGAAATTTTCAAAGAAGATGCAAACTTCCACCCTGCAAGTAGCAGCTCAGCAGAATGAATGCACCTTTGAACTTTTGTTTCGGGCACCTTGCTCTCTCCTCCCCTGTCTGTTAAAAATAACATGCATCCTGTGAGCGGCCACATGCGAGTCAGAGCTATATCTCACAAGTCTGGTAAAACCGCTAAACAGGCATTAGAAATCCAACACAGGCAGAGCTAGCCGGGGGCTAAACCAGGGGTCTCAAAATCACAGCCCACAGGCCATCTACCGCCCGAGCAGTTCCACAATCTAGCACGTGCACGGCTGTCGGCACACGAGTGCCTGTGGCCCTGAGAAGGGGGAGAGTCCATATCCTTCCCCCAAGCCCAGCTCCTGCTCCACTCCATCCCTGCTCCTCCCACCTCTGCTCTGCACTCTCGCCCCATTGCACCCCTTCCCAAGGGACACAGTCTCAGAGATTACAGCGGGGCCTGGCGCAGGCTGGCAGCTGGGGTTGGACTTCTCCCCTGGCACCTACCACAGCATCCGGAGCCACGGGGAAGCAGAACCATATAGCAGCCTCTACTCTGCTGCCATCTCCAGGCCAGCCAAGTCATTGTGCTTCACCCAGGTCGTGGCAAGCAGGCTGGGGCTCTTGGATTCCTGCCACCGCAGTGAAGCGGAGCAATGGGGTTGGACTAGGACATGGTGGAAGAGTGGCGCAGAGGCTGCTGCATCACTCTGCTTTCCTGCCATCGCTAACCTGGGAACTGTGGGGATGAGGGGGAGGGCCCAGGGCAACCACCCCAACCATCCAACGGGGGGAGCTTAAATTCGAGGGGGGGGGCGGGGGGGGGGGGGGGGGGGGAGTGGTAATGTGCAGAGATCACTACCCTCCCTGGATCCCTGCCAGAGGTGGGTGCCCAGCGGCCCACTAAAAGGATTTGACTGGCACTGGCCCTAGGGTAAATTGAGTTTGAGACCCTGGCCCTAAACTGTCAGTGCAGCGTCAGTCATAGCAGCAGGACTTAATGCACCAAAATACCAGGTATTAACTGTCCCCTTTCCCTCCATGGCTGCATCTGCAGGGGAAAATTGACCTAGAGAGCTGGCTGGAAAAATTTCGGAGAGACCACTTCCTCAGAAAATGCAGTCCTGTCAAAAATCGAAATGCTTTATACAATTTTGCTCTGGAACACAAAGGGCAGGAGGGGGAGTTCCAATCATGGCCAAAGTCCTATTCTGGAATGTAAAGTTTTGATTTTCAAAAAACCTTTTCATTTAGATTATTTTGTGTTTTATGTTTCAGAACATTTAAAAAGTCAAAATGAAACATTTTGAGTGAAGTTGATTTTTTCCCCCCTGAAATTTGTGTGTGAAGAGCTTTGGAATGTTCACATTTTTTTCCAAATTGGAATGAAAGCAAATTTCAAAATCTTAAAATCCTTGGCCAAATGGAATTTCCATTCTCCACCCGGCTCTAGTGACCTGTGATTCACTACCTAGTGTATCTTCATTGATGGTAGCCACAGGAGAAACTGGTAGGGCTCAGGTGCTCTTACCACAGTGCTTTCTAACTCAGATCAGAAAAGACATGGATGACAGGTTGGCCTTGTCTGCATTGCAGCTTTCACACTCGCTACCATCTGCCTTGGTAGTGAAATCCGGATCTTAAATGTGCTCATGTAGACCAGGCCATTGTCTTATCAGTACAATAAATGCCACGCTGTCTAGAAAATGCCAGTCAGGGAGGAGATAGGACATATCCTAGCAGCAACTGCTGAAGGGTGAGAGTGTCACCAAAATGTGTGATGCACTTCAGAGCGGGGGGAGAAGAGCAGCATTTCCCCTCTGCATGTAGGAGCGAGTGTCTCTTGGTCGGAATCTCCTCTGTTTGTGCGGGGAAGCCGTTATGTTTCTGGTCATGGGGTATGGTTGCCAACCCTCCAAGATTGGCCTGGAGCAGGGATGGGCTACAAAAAAACCCAGCAGCCTGCTAGGGTTAGTCCCTGGCAGGCCACCCCTGCTATGTTTACCCACGCTTCTATAGGCATCAGGCAATTGTCGCTTTTGTTGGCTGTGGATCACCATTCAGGGCTAACAAGAGTTCCAATCATCCAATACCTGCAGAAGTGCAGGAAAACATAGAGGTGGGGGCCCACCAGGGATTAATCCTGTTGACTGGATCCAGCCTGGAGTCTCCTGGAATCAGCATTGATCTCCTGGTGACTACTGAAAGCCTGGAGATTTTAATAAGATTTTTAAGAAAGGGATGTGGGGAAAATCCAATAACTCCAATTGTGTCTAAAGGGGGGACTGTGCAGGAAATCAAAACTCTCTAAAAGAAAACTGCTGTAAGGGTTAAAAAGTTTTCCAGGCCTCTCTCCCTGTAACAGAGAGAAATCAAATTAGCTCTAATCAAGACCCTTACAATGCCTCCTATCTCAAGTTCATGGATACTCCTAGTTTGTCACAATTTGTCATGTAAACCCTTATCTTTGTCACAGTTTGCCTTGTAAACTTCTCCACTCCACATTCTCATATGGCTTTGTTCTGTAAAACTTACTTCTAGCACTCCTGGGGTGAACAGAAGTCTCAGAGTACTTCTGCTGAGACTTTGATATGTTAAAGAAAAACAATCCACAACTGAGCTGTCTGAACATACTGTATAAAGATTCCCTGAATCTGTCTGTCAGGGCTGCTTCACTCTTGGTGTGACAGCCTGCATGCATGCATCATAAAGTTTTCTCTTCTAGGGTCTCCTGCCTCACTGATTTGACCTCCGGCCTCGGACCCTTCTGGGGGCTCTGTACCTCAGGGGAGCGAGATTTCCCCCTCAGGGACATGACATCATGTTGGGGGAAAAAAGTCTCCTGGAATAGCTTCCATCAGAGAGGAGGAGGAATGTAGTGACATCTAGGAATATAGTGTCTCATTACATATACATATGGGATCTCTCAAATTACCCATCTGAGTTGGAAAAATGAAACAGTGATAGCTACCCCAATGTAGATTGGGACTTTAGGTTGAACTTAGCCACATTTGGTTGATTTTTCTAAACAATGAGTCCGCACCACCAAGCCTGTTCCATTGACTTTAAGGGCCATTAAAGTTGATTTTGGTACTCCTGCTTCATCCTTTGGATGGGGGATAGAAACACTGGAAATAACATTGAGGAGTCCTGTGGCACCTTAAAGATTAACAGGCATACAATTTTGTGGGTAAAATCCACTTGCATGTGTGGGGTTTTATCCACGAAAGCATCTGCCCAAATAAATCTGTTAGGCTATGTCTATAGGGTTGCAGGTGTCCGGTATTTACACAGACAGTCCAGTAATTGTGTCTTCTGTCCAGTAAAAAAACCCAGAAAATACCGGATATGTAAGTTTGGGTGATTTTTGTATTTGGTTTTTTTTTTTTTTTTTGCTCAACCAATTTTTTCCCTGCCATGTTCCTGATTTTTTGTGAAAGTGTCTTGCAACCCTATTACCCTACAAGGTTTTTGTGCAAAAACTGGTGGAGCATCCACACCTCAAGCACGTTTTTGTGCAAAAAAAATTAAAATACGATACATCGACAGGACAGAGGATTTTTGCTGGTAGAGTTATTCCTCTCCCCACAAGGAATAACTCCTTTTTGCGCTATAGCTCTTGTGCAAAAAGGCATGTGTGGACAATCCACAGGGGTTTCTTGTACTAAAAAAGCCTATCAGAAAAAGCACAGGTGTTCTGATGGCCATTCTGTTGATGGCAATCAGAGCTTTCTTGCACAAGAGTGTCCATGCAGAGTCTTTTGCAATGCGCTTTTGAGGTGTGGACATCTTTTTGCACAAGAAGTTTTTGCGGAAGATTTCTTGCACAAAAACCCTGCAGTGTAGACAAAGCCTTAGCTTTTAACGTGCCAGAGGACTCCTCGTTGTTTTTGCAAATAGACAAACACAGCTCCCCCTCTGAGGGTTGAAATAATGTGGTTGACTCAAAAAGTCTGAATTCCATCCCTCTCGTAAGCCTGGCAAGCAAACAGCCACAGTCCAGTAGTTTGTACTGACATGGGACTGTAAGAGCTGGAATGCCCAAAGTCACTCTAAATCTCAAAGACTCCAAGAACAGCCCTCTCTCTCCCCCAGATCCCTCATGTGCTTCTCCCTTATTTCCTATGTGACTGCACTGGATTTTTTTCTTAATGGGTGAGAATTAACTCCAGCCAAAAGCCCAGGGGAGGGCTGACCACCATCTTTTTAAAAACAAACAAAAATCAAGTCTAGTATGTGAGGAATATGGCATTGCAGTGATCTGAGCCAGGTTTTTCATTTAAAACCAAAGGAATGAGTGTATACAATGTTCACAGTGACTCAGGGAGGATACAAATTTTGCCTCATTCCCTGAGGAGCAGTGTGTGGAATGACTCCAGAACAGAAACTCTCATGCTCTTCCCCAGGAAATTTCCGAACACTTCATCCATGCAATCTGCTAAAACATGAGAATGTACTAAGGAGACCAATAATCTCTCCATTTATTGCCCACGTTAGACATGCCACAGTAGGAATGCCAATAAAATAAAAGCTGAAAGGCTTTACCATTTAATGGTGCTTGCGCTGCAGGTGGGGTCTTTAGGAAGAAGATAAGCACTGAAGCAGCTGTGACTATGCTGAAGCTCTTGGCTGACATCTCAAGGAAAGATTTATAATCTCCCGACAGTTCACTGGCTTTTCTTCACTCATTGAAGAAACTCCCTGGAAGACGGCTGGCTGGCAGCAACAGGCACACAGAGCTGCTGCTAAGGAACTATTACCTTCCCCCTCCCCCTCCAGCCTCATTTTATACAGCTACTCCTCAGACTCAGCCCAAAACAAATGATGTCATCAAAGACCTGCCTTCCAGGTTACTGCATCTCTGTGAAACTGCTCATCCTTTTAATAACCCCTACTCAGCTGTGCTGCAGCAGTGACAGACTTAGCTGGGGAACTGAAACATGGAGCTTCGCAGACCCTTTAGAAGACATGTAAATGTAACGCCAACAGGCAATGACAGGTGGAACTGGGGCTGGGACCTCTAGAGCTTAGTGCATGATCTTACATGATCTAAAAATCAAAAAGGAATCCTATAAAAAGCGGAAACTAGGTCAAATTACAAAGGATGAATATACACAAATAACACAGATATGTAGGGGCAAGATTACAAAGGCGAAGGCACAAATCAAGCTCAATCTAGATAGACACATAAAGGGTAACAAGAAAACATTCTACAAATACATTAGAAGCAAGAGGAAGACCAAGGACAAAGTAGATCCATTGCTCAATGAAGAGGGAAAAACAATAACAGAAAACTTGGAAATGCCAGAGGTGCTTTGTTTTGGTTTTCACCAGGAAGGCTGATGGTGCCTAACATCATGAATACTAGTGGAAATGGGGTAGGTTTAGAAGTTGAAATAGGAAAAGAACAAGTTAAAAATTACTTCAAAGAGTTAGATGTCTTCAAGTCACCAGGGCCTGATGAAATGCATCCTGGAATACTCAAGGAGCTGATAGAGGAGGTATCTGAGCCATTCGCTATCATCTTTAAAAAGTCATGAAAGCTGGCAAATATACTGCCCCTCTATAAAAAGGGAAATAATAACAAACCAAGAAACTACAGACCAGTCAGCTTAACTTCTGTTAACAGCCAGCATGGATTTGTAAAGAACAAATCATGTCAAACTAATCTGATAACTTTCTGTGATAGAATAATAAGTCTTGTGGATAAGAGGGAAGCGGTGGACATGGTATACCTAGTCTTTAGTAAAACATTTGATATGCTCTTGTATGACCTTCTTATCAATAAACTAAGGAGGTGGGGCTACTATAAGGTGGGTGAATAACTGGCTGGATAACCATTCTCAGACAGAAGTTACAGGCAACCCCTGCACTTACGACCTAATTGGTTCCTGGAGAACCGTCGTAAGTTGGGCCATCATAACTCAAACCTTTATTGCCCATAGGGGCAATGTTATGAACAGGGGTTTTGTTCCTGTCCTGCTTTGGCTCTTGGGAGTTGTAGTCTCCTGGAGTCAGGGGGTTCTGCTGGGCAGTAGGTGGCCCTGTAGCTCAGCGTGACTGGCACCCTGAGCCAGCAGGGGGCTCCGCCAGGCGGTAGGCGGCCCTGTGGCATGTCGAGAATGGTGTCTTGAGCTGGCCAGCCGGGGGGTTCAGTAGGCGTCCAGTAGGCGGCTCTACGGTTCCCAGAGCAGGGCAGCTGTAAATGTAGGGGGTCACAGGTCAGGGGTCACCTGTATTAACGGTTCACAGTCATGCTGGAAGGGCATAACAAGAGGAGTTCCACAGGGGTCAATTTCTGTTCAATATCTTCATTAACAATTTAGCATAGAGCAGACGCTTGTTAAATTTGCAGATGATACTAAGCTGAGAGGGGTTGCAACTGCTTTGGGGGACAGGGTCATAATTCAAAAGGGTCTGGACAAATTGGAGAAATGTTCTGAGGTAAATAGGATGAAATTTAATAAGGACAAATGCAAAGTGCTCCACTTCGGAAGGAACAATCAGTTTCACACATACTGAAAGGGAAGCAATGGTCTAGGGTGGAGTACTGCAGAAAGGGATCTAGGGGTTATAGCGGACCACAAGCTAAATATGAGTCAACAGTGAGACGCTGTTGCAAAAAGAGCAAACGTGATTCTAGGATGTATTAACAGGAGTGTTGTGAGCAAGACACAAGAAGTGATTTTTCCGCTTTACTCTGCACTGATTAGGCCTCAATTGGAGTATTGTGTCCAGTTCTGGGCATCACATTTCAAGAAAGTCCTGGAGAAATGGGAGAAGGTCCAGAGAAGAGCAACAGGAATGATGAAAGGTCTAGAGAACATGAGCTATGAGGAAAGACTGAAAGAATTGGGCTTATTTAGTTTAGAAAAGAGAAGAATGAGGGGGACACAATGGCAGTTTTCAAGTACCTAAAAGAGTGTTACAAGGACGAAGGAAAAAAATTGTTCCTCTTGGCCTCTGATGATTAGGACAAGAAGCAGCTAGCTCTCAGTTAAGGTCCTAGAGCAGACTCATTATTGTCTCTGAAAGTGGTCTCAGTGCCAGTAGGTGGGGCAGTGCACCATACCCAACAGGTGTGGGGGTTACATAAACACTTAACAAATGGGCTTTGCTTCATAGGGTTTCTATCCGTTGCTTTGAAAGTTCAAGGCTGGGCAGCCCTTCTAGTTCTTACATCCAAACCACCATGATTTGGTGGAGGGGATGTGGGTTCAGGTATAATAGACCCCAGAGGCAGAGTGAGGGAAATGACTGTGGGTCAGACTTTTAATAATTCAGGAAAAGTTTTGAAATTTTCAGGCTGAAAGAAGGGGATTTTCCTATCACAGCCACCAGGAGCTGACAGCAGAGATGAGATGGGACAAATGGACAGTCATGAAGCGAGAGCATGACGCCTACATCCAGTATATGTATGAATGAAGAGAGCAGCGTGTGTTTGAGTGGGGGCAGAGGTAACAGGGCCTGGCCCCTGAGGATGAGACGGAGAACATGGGTCTGAGAGCAGCCCACCCCAAAGAGCTGTCCAGCAGGCCCGATGTGTTGATAAACATTTAGCTGTGTACGTTGTCGTATGCTCCTTCAGTATATCACGCCAGCTCTGTGCAGGAAGCTAGCACGATAGACTTCACGAGAGCCCCCAAAGTCCACAGACTCAGATAAGATAGGAAGGCACCTAAGTCAGGTTTATTGTTGAACAAAGTACTATAAGAGTTGTTGGTAGCCAGATGGTCTCCAAGCACCTGGACAATGGAACAGCTCAATCAATACTATGGATTTCTCTATTGCCCCCTAGGCCAGCCAAAGAGTTAAGTGAGGTACCCCAACATTTATAGACAGAAATGAACAATCTATGACAGTGGTTCCCAACCTTTTCACTAGTATGGACCCCCAATCGCCCCCCAAACCCCCACCAATCCGTTCGCAGACCCCCATCAAAGCCAATTCTAGCTGCAATTCTAATAGCCAGCAGAGTATTTTCTCCCTTTACTTTTACTTATGTCTGTTTGATTAGACATTCCACTTGTGGATGCTTCATTCTGCTCATCAGTCTCCTTTCTCTTCAGCGAGCCTGATTTCAGCCACAGGTCCAGGTGGAATGTATGGCTAACGTTTGTATGCTTCAAACCATCACAATCGTTTTGTCTCACAAAGGTGCCACAGCATAGATTTTTGGACAGCAATTAATAACATTATTGGAAGATATTGAATTTAAAAGTAATAATTGATTGTAACTTTGCAATTTATTTAAAATGTATTTCCTATTATCATTTTTATATATCTTTTTTTTTTCATGGACCCTCTGCAAAACCCTCACAGACCCCCAAGCGTTTGCAGACTCCAGGTTGGGAACCACTGATCTATGATACACACCACACGTATCACCTTACATATTAATAGTGTATTTCGTACATCCCCTTGTACCTTCCTCCAAAGCATTCCTATTCACTGCCTGTTGTTATGCTGTCACTCTTGTTGTTTTTAACTATTTTATTATGTACTTTTCTGGGTGTGCCTGTACTGTCCCGATGGATTGTGTTCACGCATTTCATGTGTTGTTAGCAGTGCTAGCAGTTCTAGTGGTAAAAGACACTGACTTGCAGGCAGACATTTGCCTGTCTGTTACTCATACTATAACTCTTGCTTATTTTGGTTCAAGCACCAGGCCCATGCTTTAGGCTTTTTCTTTCTTCCACAAGGGTCTCTCAGCAGTAGAGAGGGCAGGGCAGCTCAGGTGTGCTGGACTGGCTCTTCTTGCAGGGTGCACGTGCTGCCGCCAGCCAGCCACTGGCTCCCCACTTTGAGCAGGGTAGAGGAGAGAGCTCCATGGGCCAACTCTTCCCATGGCCTCCAGCTGAGTTGGGAAGGGCTTGATGTGAATCCCCTTCCAAACATTCCTCCTGACACTGCCCCCTCCCATGGTTCTCCACAGTATCTTGTAAGTCTGGATTGTGATCATTGATTGCATTTGTGTAAGCTGGGCTGCATGTAATCAGGAGGGGGTGGGATTTGAGCTACTGTGGCCATGTTTTTACTGCTCTGTTTGTTTTGCTGGCTGGCTGGTGATTATTAGTAGTAATTGTGTATAAAAGTTTTCCGTTAAAAGCATTTTCGGAAAAGCACGTCTAGATTGGCAGGACGCTTTTCCGCAAAAGCACTTTTTGCAGAAAAGCGTGCGCTTTTCCACAAAAAAGCCCCGATCGCCATTTTTGCAATCGGGGCTTTTTTGCGGAAAATAAATCTCTGCTGTCTACACTGGCCCTTTTGTGCAAAAGTTTTTCGGAAAAAGACTTTTGCCCGAATGGGAGCAGCATAGTATTTCCATAAAAGCAGTGACAATCTTACATGAGATCGTCAGTGCTTTTGCAGAAATTCAAGCGGCCAGTGTAGACAGCTGGCAAGTTTTTCCGGAAAAGCGGTTGTTTTTCCAGAAAAAGTGGCCAGTCTAGACACAGCCTAAGAGTTTGCATATTACTAACTTTGAAATGGCTTGTCTGCAAAAATGTCTAACTTTAAAAGTTAAATTAGATTGAAATGGAGGGGAAAATTCTCTCTCATGATCAGTATCAAAGTTGCATGGATACGTACCCATAAAAGAATTGTACTTATCGTATGGCTAGGTGGCAAAAGCAAGCAACCAAGCAGATTTTCTATAAGGTACAGTGCATATTATCAACAGAACAGAAACACAAAGATCAGCTAGAACCAAAAGAAGGAATTAATTCAGCTCCTGAAATAATCAAAACCACTTCAGTTCATAGTGACACCTAGTGGTATTTTTGGGATGTTTGCTTTGTAAAATTCTGAAACTAGTGTACATTAAAATGAAACTAATAGCACTGAGGCTTAGTGTAGGTGGGTGCAGTGCCAGACTTGGTCCCAGCTCTGTCCAAGTTTCTCAGTTCTGACCTAGCTTTTTATGCGGCTCTAGAGTCTCTTGAAGTCACTCCACTGTCCCAGTTGGCTGGTAGTTCTGCTGGATGCATAAACCGGGGGATTAGGCTCAGGCCTACACTTGATCTATCTTGCAGCATAAACTCTGGTGTAGGGCTAGTGCGAATGCCAAGTGCCCCCGTTCTACAGCACGTTAGTGTGTGCAAATCTCCCATTTTTGTCCTCTTCACCTTTCATTGGTCTCTTGGAAAGGGCAGTCCATTGTTCAACTAGCCCATTCTAATTGGCAGGACTTTATGCGAGGTATTTTTGTGTTGAGTGAGATCTTCATTGCCTTAACACTAATTTGCGTAATGTCTCTAGCCCTGTTCAGAACTGCACAAAGGAAGTTGTTGTCTAACATCCTTGGAAGGGTCCTATCCACCCTACTGCAGAATGATAAAGAACTGTTTTATTGCCTGACAATAAAGCAGATGAATCCCTCAGGAATTAACTGTAATAGTTGCAGCTTTGAGTGTGCACCCTTTGCCTTTAGTGCTAGAAATACCCTCTTCTTGGACCAATGCACACTGGCAGGTGAAAAGCTGTTAGCTGGTCATTAGAACAACCAAGCTCTTGCTGGGTCCGGCTTAGTACGGGTTCCAGGCGCTTCTCACAAGTGATCCAAGGTCTGACAGGAGCAAGAGCTGATATCTCGTTTACACAAACATGTGAAATCACTGATGTAGGAGGAATAGCCCTCTTGCTGAATTGTTACTACAGCTTTTCATCCTGCAGCACTGTTGTGGGAAGGAACAAACTGGCATACAAGGGAGTGAGAGCAATAGAGCTCATAGCTACAATAATACGTAGGACCCTCACTGCACTTTTCTGCCAGATAACAGAAGCATCAGTTCCTTCTCTTACGTGCCAAATGCAGGCTTGGGGCTTAGTTAAATCTCTGATGAGGTTGAGAGAGTAGCCAAATACTTGGGACCATCACTCTCCTAAATAGCTCTATTAAACCAAACCCCTGAAACCAAATATTGCCAAACTTCATGGGCTGAATTCAGTTACACCTGGCCATATGCTGTTGAATTCAGTGGACACAACCAGTTAGGGAGAAAGAAGATGGGGGGATACAAGCTGTTATGAGACGGCAGGTTCCCCTTGGAAATGTGTATATTACTCTAGTCAAAACATTCCACGGTCCTTTGTCTTCAGACCCTCTCTGTCCCGTGTCAGCTGCTGCCACTCTTATACTCTTGCTTCATATCTCAGATCCATACTAGGGAGTGACTTTTCTTATAAATGGAGCCCCAAAACATAGTTCCAGAGGAGAGGCAAGCAATCACAGATGGAAATGCCTTCTAGTAGGAATTCCAGCAGATTCAATTGGGATCTTGCATTTGATTTCTAGTGGAGCAACCAGTTCTCAATTGGAAATGGAAAAATCTTAAAAAACAACGAATAGTCCTGCAGCACCTTAGGGTACGTCTAGACTACAGGCTTCTGTCGACAGAAGTTTTGTCGACAGATACTGTCGACAAAACTTCTGTCGACAAAGAGCGTCTAGACTACATTGAGTTCTGTCGACAAAGCAAGCTGCTTTGTCGACATGGTAGTGTAGATGCAAAGGACAGTTTACATGCAATAACACCTTCTGTTGACAGAACTCTGTGGACAGAAGGTGTTATGCCTCGTAAAATGAGGTTTACCAGCATCGACAAAACTGCTGAGTTCTGTCGACGTTATGTCAACAGAACTCCGCGGTAGTGTAGACGCTGGTATAGTTTTGTCGACAAAAGTCCACTTTTGTCGACAAAACTCAATAGTCTAGACACACCCTTAGAGACTAACAAAAAATGTACATGGTATGAAGTGGGTTGTGCCCATGAAAGCTCATGATACCATCTACGTTTTTGTTAGTCTCCAAAGGTGCGTCTACACAGCACGCTAAACTTGAAATAAGATATGCAATTTGTGCTATGCAAATTGCCTATCTTATTTCTATTCTAATTCAAAATAGCTTATTTTGAAATTTGGCACCTCTACGCAGCGGCAAATTTCAAAAGAACAAGCTCTTTTGGGACAAGGGTTACATTGATGCCAAAATAGTGTGCCAGTTATTTAGAAAAATATTTTGAAATTACAGATGGCTGGTTAAAACACTGGGTAACTATTTCAGAATACCTCCGGTATTGTGTAGATGTACCCTAAAGTGCTGCAGGCCCAGTTGTTGTTTTTTAAGTTTTCTCTATTAGGGTACATTTACACTTGCTTGATGCAAATGTAGTGTACCGAAATCGCTAATGAAGCGTGGGATTTAAATATCCCATGCTTAATTAGCATAATCACGTCTGGGAACCATTTTGAAATTGCGTTATTGCAAAATGACGTGAGCAGCATTATTTTGAGAGAAGGGTTTTCTCTCGAAATAATGCTGCTACATGAGGCATTTTATTTTGCAATAATACGATTTCAAAATGGCGCCCAGACGCGATTATGCTAATTAAGCATGGGATATTTAAATCCTACGCTTCATTAGCAATTTTGGTACACTACATTTGCATCCCTATCTAGAGATAGGGAGCAAGTGTAGACGTACCCTTACAGACTAACATGGCTACCCCTCAGAAAAAATTGGTAATGGGTGTGTCTTCATCAGTAACTTCTATTTCTTAGCCAGGGCATGAGGGGCAGCTATAACTTCAGCCTCTGGAAAAGTGATTGTTTGTCCTCCTGGGGGCCAGGTGTATTTACTCACTAATATTCTTGCCACCTTAGCAGAATGAGGCTATGTCTAGACTGCAGGCTTCTTTCGGAAGTTTTTCCAGAAGTGGTCTTTCAAAAAAACTACTACTTCTTCTTCCACATTGCCAAAGTGCATTGAAAAAGTGATCTGCTTTTTCGAAAGATAGTGTCCATTCAGTGTGGATGCTATCTCACATTTCAGCTGTGACTACTATGGACAGAATGGCCACCAAGGCACCTGTGCTTTTTCCTCTTTCCTCTTCTTTCGAAAGAACTCCCTCTTCCCCATCCACACATACCTCTTTCCAAAAGAGCTCTTTCAGAAAAAGGCTTCTTCCTCATAGAAAGAGGTTTATCAATGTCAGAAAGACCCCTCATTTTTTTCCGAAAGAATGTGATTGGAGTCTGAATATAAGTAAAGGGTTTTTTTTAAGAACGGCCATAAAACAAACAAGCTGGGAGCAGAGAGGAGTGTAATTTCTATTTATCAGAAGAAGTGCATCAAGAAACTTAGAGTTCTCTGAAATAGCTAGCCAGCTATTAATGATTAGTGCATGTTACATTGTGATTGGCAAAAAGATTGATCTTTGAAGTGAACTTTGCACTTTTAGATAAGCAGTGAGGATAGTAGATAGTGTCTTTTTCAAGGCAAGGGGGGATGAGTGTAGGTCCAAACTCAGAATGAACAGCTGTGGAATTGTGCTCGCTGTGGTTTTATTTTGTGCTTACCTTGTTTTCTTTGCATCAGCAAGACTGGAAGGTAAGAGAGCTGCTTTCTTTAACATACTGTTTTTATTTTGTATGATGTACAACAGCAAATTACTGACCATTGGTCATTTTAGATTACGTGGTTATGGAGTTTTTACAAGGGTAGGGATTGAAAAATCCAATGCCCTGGCCAAATCCCCACCCGGAAATGACATGTCACCTCTCTCAAATTCCCTTTGGAGACGATACTTTTCACCTGCCCCCTGACATTTTTAAGCAGTGTCCTTAGCATAATATACTTTCCACCTTCCCCTCACAAGTATAAGCATTCTGTGATTACCTCTAATGTTACACAAATAAAAGGAATTATTATTGTCTCCAGTAAAAACGATTTCATGCGGACTAGCTGAATATTTCATATTAGATTAGTGGTGGGTGCCAAATGTTTTTGGATTTGTTTCTTTTTAGGGAAAGCCGGCTTGCAAATTAAACGTACTGTTATTTTTCCAATCCAGTATTGTATTGTCATTGATTGGAGCCACTTGGGCCATTGCAAAATAATAGATCTTCATCAAATACTTTGAATCATCCCAAGTTTTGACTGAAAGTGCACAACCCAGGAGAATTTTTGTTCAAGCAGCCTAACATTTATCTTGCAAATAAAACCATAACATTAAAATTTTCAGTAGGTTTCTTTTTGAGAATAGCTTGGTGAAGCTTCATTTACTATTTTGAAGATGTAAGATAGCTATGCACAATAGTCATCCAAAACAGCGAATGATGGAAATCGCACATTGATTTGTATGCACAATTGCAGTACAATCTCTTAAAATTATATTCTAATGCATGCCACCTGGACTTATAGCAGAGCGCCCCGGCTGGCTCTCAGCAGAGCACCCCCATCAGCTCTCAGCTCACATTAGGTGCCTCAGGTGGCAGTTAGGCACATAGACGTCTTTGCTAACCTAGCCCTTAGTCTCACAACAAGAAGAGGACATTCTCAAGACCTTTATTTCAAGCAACCTATGATTTCTTGCAAGACAGATGTTCCAAAATGGTTGGAGACGTGTTGGCAATGCACCTCCATTTACTGGTCTCCCTGCCAGCAGCAAAATGTACCCTCTCAAGTTTTAAGGGATGTGGTTGCTGGAAGGGCCTTCTTGATCTTCTCCATTGGTTGAACTATTTGTGTCGCTGACATGTTAAACTGTTGTGAGTAACAGTGCTATTTTTGTATGAAGGAGATTTATCCTCTGACTTCAGCTCCCACGTGCAAGGATGAGTTGCCCGAGAGATAGAAAGGATGTGGAGGCATTGGAGAGGGTCCAGCTGAGGGCAACCAAAATGATTAGGGACCTGGAGCAAATGATCTATGAGGAGAGGCTGAGGGATTTGGGCTAATTTAGTCTGCAGAAGCGAAGAGTGAGGGGGGATTTGATAGCAGCCTTCAACTTCCTCAAGAGAGGTTCTAAAGAGGATGGAAAAGGCTGTTCTCAGTAGTGATGGATGGTAGAACAAGGAGCAATGGTCTCAAGTTGCAGTGGGGGAGGTCTAGGTTGGACATTAGCGAAAACTGTTTTCCAAGGAGGGTGGTGAAGCACTGGAGTTCCCTAGGGAGGTGGTGGAATCTCCATCCCTAGAGGTTTTTTAAGTCTCGGCTTGACAAAGCCCTGGTTGGGATGATTTAGTTGGGATTGGTCCTGCCTTGGGCAGGGAGCTGGACTTGATGACCTCCTGAGGTCTCTTCCAGCCCTTGGATTCTATGCTGCACGAGCTGTTATGAGGCTGGGGGAGTGAACACAAGATGTTCAGCACAGTGGATTTAACTTCACTGCATCATACTTAAACAGACAAGGCTGTGGTTGGAGATGTAATTTACTTTCCTTCTGTTTGCTGGGTTTATTACCCCCTGCAGTGGATGATTTTATTGTTTTGTTGTATGTTGTGTTGTGTGTGTGTGTCCAATACAGTATCTGTACAGTACTGTTCATCAGAAACAGATCTTTGACTCATATTGATGATAAAGGAGGAATTAGACATGCAGCTCAGCTCTGAAGAGATGGTGCAGGCTTCCAATTGCTATGGAAGTCTGAAAAGATCATTTGTGTGAACATCGGATTATGTTTGTCAAAAGTTCCATTTACCTTTAGTTTATAGTTGGCCCAAAGAGGTAGCCCCAACCACATTCCCACAGATATTTCTGGGTACTTCAGATAAGACATTGTAAGGTTCCTCTGTTCAGACTCTTGCCTTCTCTTACACCGTCCTTTTCTCCTCGTTCCTCTTTCAACCTTAGTGGAGCGAACTCATTGACATTCTGGACTCCATTTAGACTGCAGTGAACTGAGAAAACACAGGTAAGGAGCAAACAATGTGTGACTGTGCAGCAGCTGAACTTTGTAATTATGGTGGAAGTCTAGTCATTAAGAGCATAAGTACCACGTTTAAACCAGCATAAACCTCTGCTGGTTTAAACGTGGTACTTAAATGTTGGCTACAGGCTGAGAACTGCTCTTTAGTTTTAATGAAATAGCTGTTTCAAGTGACATCATGTGTGGGGAAGCCAGCACCAAACCGATTAAGATGAAGCACAAGAATACCCACAAGTGCGTGGGTATCTCAAAGCAAGTGCAAGCTGGCATTCAGCCGAGGACCTGATATCGCTTGAGTGCTAGGCAATGAGATAAGAAATTGTGGCTAATGAGTTTAGAATGCCATACTCTGCCTTTATCTCACACCTTCCGTCTTCAAAGCCCTTCCCAGACATGAACTGATTAACCTTTGCATGTGTACCAGGTAAGGGTGGATAATGGGGCAGAGAGGTGAAGTGGCTTCCTCCAAGGGAGTCAGTAACGGCAGGGTGAGAATAAGGAGGAGACCTGTGGCACTTTAAAAGCTATAAACCAGCTGTTCTTTGCGGATCCAGGAGGTGCACAAGGAAAGGGAGGAGAACAGAGCTGCTGATGCCTCAGCACAGCCCAGGTTCAGGGAGCCCTGGTGTTGTGTATTGGGGGCAGAGGGAGAGAGACTGCTGATGCTGGAGCATATGAGTGCGCTGTCTCTTTAAGAGAGCACTAAAGCTCAGGTATTCTGACACAAGTAACCGAAGGCGGCAGTGCACAGGGTGGCTTGGGAGCAGGCCCGCAGGAGGGACTGGGGGGTCACTCCGACATCTGCCTTCCCCCGCCCCCCCTCCGTCCCCGCTGCAGCAGATAGGAAGTTCCCAGTACACAGTGGACCGGGGTGTCTCAGTGGAGGATGGACAGGGGCAGGAACAGCTACAGCTATAGCAGCACACATGGAGCAGGGGCGGGAGGGGAGCCCCTGCTCCAGAGGAGTCAATTGATCATCCAGCTGCTCTCTGCAGCTTCTGTCTCCCCACTCTCATCCCCAGCACTGCTGCTCATATGAACAAAAGAACGGCCATATTGGGTCAGACCAAAGGCCCATCTAGCCCAGAATCCTGACTTCCAACAGTGGCCAATACCAGATGCCCCAGAGGGAGTGAACACAACAGGTAATCATCTCATGATCCCTCTCCTGTCATCCATTTCCAGACAAACAGAGGCCAGAGACACCATTCCTACCCATCCTGGCTAACAGCCGTTGATTGACCTAACCTCCATACATCTATTTAGCTCTTTTTTGAACCCTGTTAAAGTCCTACCCTTCACCACATCCTCTGGCCAGGAGTTCCAGTAAGAAAAACCTCTTTTTGTTTGTTTAAAACCTGATACCTATTAATTTCCTTTGGTGACCCCTAGTTCTTGTGTTATGGGAACAAGTAAATAACTTTTCCTTATTCGCTTTTTCCATACCAATCATTATTTTCTAGACCTCTATCATATCCCCCCTTAGGTTACGTCTATACTATGATCTTCTTCCGCAAGAGGAAATGCAAATGGAGCACTCATTTGCATATGTCACGCTCTCATTTGCATTTCTTCTTCGGATGCCCAAATAAATCTGTTAGTCTGTAAGGATATGTCTACACTACCACCCTAGTTCGAACTAGGGTGGTTAATGTAGGCAACTGAAGTTGCAAATGAAGCCCGGGAAATTCAAATCCCAGGCTTCATTTGCAACTTCGGTTGCCTACATTAACCACCCTAGTTCGAACTAGGGTGGTAGTGTAGACATACCCGAAGATGCCACAGGCCTCCTCTTTGTACTTGCTGAAACAGACTAATATAGCTACCCCTCTGAAAATTGTCTTCATACAGATTCACTAACTTTCACAAATGCCCCTTCAGGAAGATACTTGAAGCCATGTCTACTCTAGGAAACTGTTTCAAAATAACTAAATTTGACTCAACTCCTAATTTTACAAAATTGAAATAGTGTTTCCCCGCTATGGGGAAGCCTCAAAATTAATCTAAGGCAGGCTCTGTTAATGTGGATGTGCTACCTTGACTTAGAGCCCCAGGAAGCACTGGGGAGTAATTAGTTTGAATTATTCTGGGGAGTAATTAGTTGGAAATAGTGGCATCAGAGGAATATCTATACTGCTGGGCAAAAGTTGAATTGAACTATGCAACCTGAGCTACATCAATTGTGTACCTTAAATTGAAATAGCTTAATTTGGCTTTTGGAGCTGTGTAAATAGCAGGAAGTCCGAGTTAGAACACCCTTCCTTCGACTTCCCTTATTCCTCATAAAATGAGGGTTACAGGAGTTGGAGTAAGAAGTCCTTCAGCTGGACATTATTTTGACTTTATATCGAAATAATTGCTTGTGTGTAGACACAGGCTATGTTATTTGAGAATAATATCAGCTATTCTGAAATAATGCTGCTGTGTAGACATAGCCAGAATATCCACACTAACGCTATTTCGAAATAACTATTTCAAAATTAGTGTTATTCTTGAGAAAAGCGGAAATACAGATTTCTAAATAAGGAGCCCCGCATTTCAAAATAAAAGGTTTGGGAGTGTGGACGCTAAAGGGGAATATTTCAAAATAAAGCCCTAGTATAGAGCAGGGCTGAAAGGTTTGAAGCTGAGAGGTCCAAGATCAAAGAAAACATTTCTGTGCATTCCACTTCTGTAAAATGGACTGATATCCTCCCCCACAAAGGGTACGTGGGGATTAATGTGATGCTGTTTGTAAAGCAGCATGATAAAAAGAACTAATGTTATCCCTGTTAATGCTGTCTTTGTAGTCTTCCTCAAAACATGGCCCCTACACCTACTCTTTTATGGCAGCTTGTGAACGCCCTGCATCAGCCTGACGTAGAGTCACATGCTCACCTGGAACTGAAGTGAGTTTAATGGCTATCTTAGGCTGTGTCCAGACTCAGGGGGTTTTTCGGGAAAAGTAGCCTTTTTCCGAAAAAACTTCACCTGCGTCTAGACTGCAGCCGCGTTCTTTCGAAATTAAATCGAAAGAACGCGGCTTTTCTTTCGACGGCGGTAAACCTCATTTCACGAGGAAGAACGCCTTCTTTCGAAAGTGCTTCTTTCGAAAGAAGGCGTTCTTGAATGTAAATAGGGCTTCTTCGAAAGAGAGCATCCAGACTCGCTGGGTGCTTTCTTTCGAAAAAGCGGCTTGCTCTTTCGAAAGTTCTGCGTGCAGTCTAGACGCTCTCTTTCGAAAGAGGCTCTTTCGAAAGTATCTTTCGAAAGAGGCTTGCAGTCTAGACATAGCCTAGATGGGGATCCTTCACTGCTCTCAGAGTAGAGCTGAAGAGCGGAGTCCCCATGGTAGTATGGGGGGTACAAAGCCAGGTTTAGATACCAAAAATTGTCTTCTCTGTCATGCCTTCTGGAAAGCTCTCAAACAGCAACATCTGCCACCCAGTGAAGACACAAATGAGAGCCAAGATTATTGACAGCTTCATAGCAGAGAAATGGTGAAATAACAAACTAATCTTGAAGGAGAGAGCCATTCTGCTATCCATGCTGTGACTAACAGGGCTCTTTGTACATGTGGACAAGGGGGTGAGATGTGGGTGGGGGAATTATTATTCCAAGGTGACAAGATTTTATTTCAAGATTTTCTGAGAAAGTGAGGGGAAGTTTCCAGCAGTTCCTGGAGTATAAATGCATGGAGTCCTCTGGTCAGCTTTATTTAGAAACCAAATAGGTGTGCAATGGTAAGTCACTTTATTTGTCCTGGCTGCAAACCCTGGAAAGCCCTTTAGCCTGGATAAAAAGAGAGCCAGTGTGCAAACAAGAAGTGAGAGGTACTGCTTAGTGAGCCTTCTTGCTAAAAATGGAACACAGCATTTTTCTCTGTACTTTATACTGATTCTGGATCCCTCCATAAATAACTCCTATAATAACAGGACTAAAGGACGACTCGTTTTTTAAAGTTACAGACTAACATGGCTACCCCTGTGAGACTTTAATAATAGGGTTGTTTTTGACACTGGCTGCCTAGCAATGTCTCTGCTTCATTGACAAGTTGTGTTTCTTGTGTTGGGTCTAAGACCTGAGTAGTAGACTGAGTGTGCAGGCAAACACAGGTCTTGCATTATGAAGAAGTGGGCATTTCAGCACACAAGGGTGATGCAGACTGAGGTAGGCAGCTGAGCGACATGCCAAGAGCCAAAGAACAAATATTCAGCAGAGAAATGGACTCTGCAAATGCATGTTCTGAGGGCTGGAGGGAGAGGGGTGCGTGGCAGGAAGCACAGGTAGCAGCAAGGCCATACAAGTAATGGCAGGTTATGTGCAGTGTCCTTTGACAAGATTATTATACAGAAGCCTGCAATGGTACATGAAAACTCCCCCACCACATACACACCTGAGTAGCCATTGTGAGCAGTTGAAGAGAGAGAAGCAGCACCAATGAGGGCTACACGCTGACTCAGAAATGTGTGTGAGGGGAATCATAGAATCATAGAGCTGGAAGAGACCTCAGAAGGCCATCAAATGCAGCCCCCTGCCCAAGGCAGGACCAATCCCAACTAAATCAACCCAGCCAGGGCTTTGTCAAGCTGAGACTTAAACACCTCTAGGGATGGAGACTCCACTACTTCCCTAGGTAACCCATTCCAGTGCTTCACCACCCTCCTAGGGAAATAGTTTTCCCTAATATCCAACCTGGACCTCTCCCACCGCAACTTGAGACCATTGTTCCTGGTTCTGCCATCTCCAGTGCTTCACCACCCTCCTAGTGAAATAGTTTTTCCTAATATCCAACCTGGACCTCTCCCACCACAACTTGAGACCATTGCTCCTTGTTCTGCCATCTGTCACTACTGAGAACAGCCTCTCTCCATCCTCTTTGGAACCTTCCTTCAGGAAGCTGAAGGCTGCTATCAAATCCCCCCTCACTCTTCGCTTCTGCAGACTAAATAGACCCAAGTCCCTCAGCCTTTCCTCATAAATCATATGCTCCAGCCCCCTAGTCA